GCTGCGCGGGCCCGGCATCCGGCACGAGGACCGACCGCAGTGACTCAGGGACCAGTCCGGAGCCAGCGCCTGGCCAGCCAGCCGGGCCCGCCTGCCTCTCGGCCGGGACGGCGGGCGAGGAGGCGCCCATGCGGGGCCGGGAGGCGCGGTGAGGGCTCGCGCGGGCTGGCGGGTGCGCAGCGGGCACCATGTCCATGCTGCCCACCTTCGGCTTCACGCAGGAGCAAGTGGCGTGCGTGTGCGAGGTGCTGCAGCAGGGCGGCAACATCGAGCGGCTGGGCCGCTTCCTGTGGTCGCTGCCGGCCTGCGAGCACCTCCACAAGAATGAAAGCGTGCTCAAGGCCAAGGCCGTGGTGGCCTTCCATCGGGGCAACTTCCGTGAGCTCTACAAGATCCTGGAGAGCCACCAGTTCTCGCCGCACAACCACGCCAAGCTGCAGCAGCTGTGGCTCAAAGCCCACTACATCGAGGCAGAGAAACTGCGCGGCCGGCCCCTGGGCGCCGTGGGCAAATACCGCGTGCGGCGCAAGTTCCCGCTGCCCCGCTCCATCTGGGACGGCGAGGAAACCAGCTACTGCTTCAAGGAAAAGAGCCGCAGTGTGCTGCGCGAGTGGTACGCGCACAACCCCTACCCATCCCCGCGCGAGAAGCGCGAGCTGGCGGAGGCCACGGGCCTCACCACCACGCAGGTCAGCAACTGGTTCAAGAACCGGCGGCAGCGCGACCGGGCGGCCGAGGCCAAGGAAAGGTAGGAGTAAGTAGAGCTTCGGCGCTGCCTTTCCACTGCCCGAGGGAAAAGGGGGTCTCCTGGAGAGAGGCCCAAACTGGATCGAAATCCAGACCCATCCGTACGGCCCGCTGCCATCTGGCCTGCCTCAGACACGCGGTTAGGTCTTCCGGGAGACTGGGCCGGCAGGAATTTGTCTAAAGCGGGCAAAGTAATGCGGAAGTTGTCAACTAGTTCTTTAGTCGCTTGTGGACAGAAGTGCAGAGACAGCGACTTTCAGAGAGCGGGTAGAACTGTGGTCCCGAATCCCCTGCAAGGTAGAGAGAACATTCAAGGCCTGGGTTTTCTGGGACAAAAATTAAGGACAGTGTGACCAAGTGGGCCCACGTTGCCGATTTCTGGCTTTGCTTTGCTTCCTATCAGTTCTACTCACTTCCAGATCAAAGTGTTATTACCGCTCAGGTCTGGGATTGCAACCTCCCTGGTATAGGCTGGGTAATGAAGGGACTGGGCAAGAATATTCCTTGTCCAGACGTGGAAGTGGAGGACCAGTCTTTTATGCCGGGTGGAAAGGACTAAGAGATGAAAGGCCCCAGGAAGGAAATAGCTCTGGGAGAGAAGACAGACACATACCCCTTTTCTGCCCTGCTGTACCCAGCAGCGCTTCCTGGGCCTGCTAGGCCCTTGACCTCCTACTCCTCAGAGCCTGGTCTCTTTGATGGTCTGTGTGTGAGGTGAACTGAGATCTGTGGAAGGGCTGGGGCTTGTATATACTCAACCGAAACCAAAGACTTTCTAAACTACAGTGTTGAAGCCCTGTGACTGGTTGTAATTGGAGAACTCCAAATCTTGACAAGGGAACTGTAGAGAAAATGGTGATAGGGACAGAATCTCTCTTACAGGTAAGAGCAAAAAATGAGACACCTGGGTTAGGTAGTATAGGGTGTGTTGATCATAGAGTTTGAATGGTCCTGGTTAAGGCTAAGGGTGCCAAACACTGGGAACGGATAAAAAGACTGTAGATGGGACCTTGGTATTTGAACCTTGAGGTTGCACTATCCACAGAGACAGGGTCTCACTCCACTGTGAGCTCTCTCAAGAAATCAACAAGAAAAGCCATTAGAAATCCACAAAGAGATTCTACCTGGGATTTCAAGCATCCACATTTGGGCAGGGGCTGTCAGCAAAGGCAGAGCAGGTATGTTGGAGTCTCTCAAACTGGCATTGAGTCCAGGCTCCTGAACAACTGGGTTCTGGGGCCAGAGAGCTACGGATTCTGTTCCTGAGTTTCTGGTTATGACAGGAAAGTCCAGGCTACTATTCACCGGTCTTATCCTTCCTTGTAGTTTCTCCCAGGGGCTAACCCATACGGAGCTTCTGTCCCAAGACTGAAGTTTCTAGTAGATGGCTAGAGAGTTCTCTATTCTTGAAGCAGGTCCTTAGCCCTAGCCAAAGAGAGCTCTTAGAGAGCATGCTTAGTTTTGAATCCGGGAAAGGACCCTCAAGAACCGCAGAAGCCTGTTGGCAACCAGGGGTTTCCCTGGCAGAGAAGGCCAAGAGAAATGAAGGCCTGTGCACACTCATCCTCAGGTGGGTCTCTCAGCCTAGGATCTCCGGTCCTTCGTGTATCTATACCCACTTCTACCCAGCAAGCCTAGTTTGTTGAGCCTAATTAGGTGATCTAAAAGTACAGGTATTGTCTCTTCCCCTGTACTCATCCCCAACCCCATGCACCCTGCTTGAATCCCTCTGCTTCTGGGAAGAAATGGGGTGAGAGTAGAGGACAGAAAATACAGGGAATGGAAAAGGTAGCCATGCGATTAAGAGCATGGGATGGGCCCATACAGGGGGAGGAATTAGAGAAAAAGGGAGTAAAGGGAGTATTGAGAGGTTTAAGGAACACCAGAAGGAACCAAAGGTCAGGTGTTGAAAATGCTAGAAATGGATAACACCCTCAAGCAACCACATCGGCTCTAAGTCCTGAGATGGGCGGCAGACACTGGCGACCCGTGGGGTGGCGCAGCAGAGTGGCCTTGATTTCTCCCGCTGACCCCGCTGCTTTGCTCCTGCGCTTGCAGGGAGAACAGCGAGAACTCCAATTCCAGCGGCCACAACCCATTGGCTTCCTCGCTCAACGGCAGCGGTAAGTCGGTGCTAGGCAGCTCGGAGGACGAGAAGACGCCGTCGGGGACTCCAGATCACTCGTCGTCCAGCCCTGCTTTGCTGCTCAGTCCACCACCGCCCCCGGGGCTGCCTTCCCTGCACAGCCTGGGCCACCCTCCGGGCCCAAGCGCAGTACCCGTGCCGGTGCCGGGTGGAGGCGGCGCCGACCCACTGCAGCACCACCACGGCCTGCAGGACTCCATCCTCAACCCCATGTCTGCCAACCTCGTGGACCTGGGCTCCTAGAGCTCTGCTCGCTTTGACGTGCTGGCCCTTCCAGGCCAATGCTGGAACTAACAGGCAGTGCGAGAGGGCGCTAGAAGCGGACGTCCGCACCAGGTACTGAAAGACCAGATCGCCTGGCAGAACTGCAGGACCCACCACGGGACTAAGAGGGCAGCTGTCTGCTACGGTCCCTTCGGGGGATTTATCTTCAACAAGTTGCTTTTGAGATCCTTTGGAGGCCAGGAGACCGAGTCTGGAACCAGGCAAGGGAATAAATTATAAACCGTTCTCACCCGCACCACACTTTCCCAACTCTTCTCCCTTCTCTCCGCCTTCTCTTCCGTTTCCCAACTTTCACTTTTCTTTGTTTCCTTTACTCTCCTCCTTTCTTGATTTCCCCCCTTTTTTTCATTTCCTTCTAAATTTCTGGAAGTCTCTTTCCCTCTCCAAGTCTTTCAGTCTATACCCTCTGCCTTTCTTCCCTCTGGTTGTCTGTTTGCATCCCTCATTTTCCTCATTCTGGGAGGTAGACAGTCAGGGCCTTTGAACATACATTCGTTCCAAAGGTCGCTCTCCCGTCAGTGTGAGCTCAAGGTGCCAGCTTTTTGACTAAATGAACAAGAGCTGCACCCCAGAAGCACCTGAAATCCCCCCTCTTTCTGTGTCTTCCTCCATCTCAGTCTCCCCTCCTCCTACAACCACTGGTTCTCCTCTTCCTTTTGGGACTGTGGCCTCAGTGCTCCCTGCCCAGCGTGCCTCTCCAGCCATGGACTTGCCGGTTCCCTGTTATACCCTCATGTGAATGTTTGTCGGGAGATATTTCTGCCTTTATTTTATAATAAAATTAGAAATCATAAATATATATATGGATATATGCCACAGGGCCCATGGGCCTGGAGTGTAACAGTGTCTGATTTCCCTACAGGGACTGGACACCCCTGGGGTGGGGGATGTTCTGGGCAATGACACTCCACTCCCGTGAGTCCCAGGAAAGCTGTATTTCTGTTGAGGTGAAGGGATGGGATGGAAAACTGAAACCTCCCATTAAGACCTTAGTCTGTTTTCTCCAGAGATGTCCCTGCAGAAGCAGACTTCCCGTTTCTACACCAGCCACCTCAGCCACCTCGAAGAGCCTGCCTGGGTCTTTTTTCACTTGGGGGGAGGGGAAGGAGATGAGAGCCTGTGTACCCGTCTAGTACACGAATTTGGAGGTGCTGGGGCTGGGGAACAAATTGGATTGCAACAGTTTTGAGTCAAGATGATTCCTCTGTGTGGCCAAAGTCACTGGAGACAATTCTTTGGGCAGTTTCTCTCCCTACAGCGTCAGCCATGTAGACCTGGGCTCCAGGAACACACCCTTAAGCTATACCTCTCGTGCTTGGTTTACAGTGGAAGTGAAGGATAGAGGTCAGGCATTGATCGGGTTTTGCTGATGCCAGGAAGTGGGTGCATTTATTCCCAGGGACAGACTAAAGGTGATCCTCGTATGGTATGCTGCAAGTGCATCTCTGACTGTAAATTTATCTACTGCAATGTTTCCTGTCTGGGTTTCTAACCCCCTTTGAATAGACACGTCCATGCTGGTCCAGGCAGATTCGAAGCAGGCAGGGCTAGGTGAGGAAGAGGTTAAGGATTTTCAGTGTTTATTCGAAGTGCCTGTGACTACTGATGTGTTGATTTTTGGTGACCAGGACTCTGTGAGGATAGTGTCTGCCTACCCTGGGCTGGAAGGGATGGAGAGGAAGAGGGATCTGTTGGGCCCCGGGACCTCCTAGGACTTTTCCTTTCTGATTAAATCAACACTTCCTCTTTTAAGCATGGTAAAATCAGAAGACTTTTCTCAAAATGTCTTTATCAATAATTTTTTCTCCCATGATTCAGGCGGTTGGATGACCTAGGTGGCACAGGAGGCTACACCTTTGCGAAAGCCTAGAATTCAAGGAGAATTACACAAACCTGGGACAACTCCACTCTTCAAGGCTGGAGTCCTTCACCTGGGCCCACACCCAGTGCTCTTCCACTTCTGAAGGCTCTACTTTCAGGAAACATCTTGAATGCTGGGGGAAACTGGTCTGTTCTTATACTGCCTGAGCAGCCCAACTTCCTCTGACTGGAAGGGTGGAGAGCTACCTACTGCCTGAGCCTGGAGAGTGCCACCGGTATCAGCCCAGTTGGCTAGGCAGCTTGGCAATGGCAGAGCCTACTGTTCTTCACAATTACTTCTCCGGATAAGGAAAGCATAGTAACCTCTGTATTCCATATCACCCCTTGTCCCACATTCACAGGAAAACAGACTCTGCACTATCACATGGACAAGACCACACACATTTAACATTAATTCAATTCACAATTTTTTAGAGCCTGATATATTTACAAGTATTTTGGATAGCACCATAACTTACCACTGTAGTGGCCACTTAGGGAAATGGCTGTTGCGCATGTATTAACCCTATACTCACACAAATACAGACCCTCAATCCATTCTCACACACATATCTTCAAGCACTTTCTCTCATGGATATCCATGTAAGATAATGCACAATTGAACTGATCTAGCATGTGTATACTTAAACATACAGCATACAGCCACACCAGACTTTCCCACATCAGGCTTCTTTACCAGAAATATTCAAATCCAGAGCCATACCCCAGTACTCCTGACAGCCACCAGTTCCTGCCCGATGACCCACTGGCATTAGGACAGGACCTACAGAGGGGCTTGCTGGGAAGGTCTCTAGCGGTTTGGTCCCAGAGAAAGAGATGGTCCCAGCCTGGAAGTGGCAGCTGATCAGGGATCTCACCATGGCACTCCCTCTATTTGTCTTCCTGGGTAGATGGCTGGAGTTTGTTAGCTGCGCTCAAGTGCCAGTAGGGGACAGGATGCCAGTTGCAAGGCTTTATTTCTTAGAGCAAATTCAAAGCAGTTCAACTTGCTATGTCTTCCCTCTTTCACTCTTCCTCCATCAGCTAACCCTGGGAAATGTGTATTTAAACACAGTGGTGAAAACTATGCAGAAGCCCATCGCCTAAATCTGTATAAGCCACTCCCAGCTTCCAGAGGCAGGAACTGGACATAATATACACATACTGTTGCATGAAACCAGCCAGTCCTGTCAGAATCTACGCAACAAGATTCTTACAGGCCTGCCACCCTCTTCCATCTACCTGTTTGAGTCCCCATCCCACCCTTGAAGTCTCAGAGTTTTGCTCTGGGACCTGAGAACATGAAGTCTTCCTGCTCCCCTAACAGAGTCTGCCCTTCAGTTTGCTCCCTATTAGGGCCTATGCCCACATAACCCTCTAGGGAGAACTCAAGTGTTGATAGTGGGACCCAGTCACCAGGGGCAGGTGGCTAGATCAGTAAAAGAAAATTTGCTTTGGGGCTTAAAAACCCTGAAGCACAGGGGGCAGTCCATCTGGCAAGTGTCCCCAAAAGCACCTGGCAGTCTTCAAGAAGTCTTGAGTCAGGAACCTCTGACCTCCTATGTCCCTAGAGAGCATCTTACCACACGGGAACAGGTGGTAATGGCAGCCGTAACCAGAAAAAGTTAACCAAAGCCAGAGAGATCTGGGGAGAGGATGTAGAGGTACTCAAAACAGTTTCAGCACCCGGAAGAAAAACTGAGTTGGCGGACTGGACAAGTCAGGGTGAGGAAGCAGGGAAGTCGGCTTCCAGGGCCTACCTGTTGAGGACCTCAGAATGTACAGGACTGCTGGAAGAAAGACACCGGATTTTTGTACCAGCCGAGGACCTCAGAATGTACAGGACCACCAGAAGAAAGACACCAAGGTTTTTGTGTTAAAAGGCTGATGAGAAAAGACAGTTGGAGTTGCTCCCATTCCAGTGATTGCTCAGGCTCCAAACTTCTGAGTCCTAAAAGCTGCCTAGGAGGCGTGGGTGTGACCGACTTCCTGATTGCAAATGAGCTCAAGGATGTGAGAAGGGCATTTGAGAGAAGCTGTGGGTTGATGTGCCAGTTGGGACAGTGACTCTGCACACACAGGAGGATGGTAGGTGTAGATGGACCTTGTGGGAAACGATCAGTGCTTAGGCACAGGATATGATAGGGGATAGTGTGCTACTCCCTCATACAAGCACACGCAGCACCTGAGCCGGTAAGCGTCCAGAGCACTTGGGGGAACCCAGAAAATCAGGTCCACCTAAGAACAGATTGCACCCTGGGCTAAGGAGGGCCAGCCTCTCCCTTTGTGCTGCCTGATCTCAACCTGTCAGAAGTTGGCCGGCATTCCTGGAGAGCCAGGCGGAAAGGACGAACTCCTGGCCCTGCAGTTGAGGGGTAGGCATAGGGAGCCAGGAACCCCAGCCTAGTCTGGAAAGTCTGTGCATCCCGGTGTCAGGGTCAAGGCCCTTACGAGCTGCCTTGGGTTTCTATTCTGGAAATTCCGCTGGTGTCTGTGAGACTGGAATTCGGAAATACTTTCTCCAGGATGGCGGGTGAAATCCGAGTTTAAAAGCTCATATTGAGCGTCCTCCAAAGGAGTCAGCAGTAAGGCCGCTTCCCTGCCTGCTTAGATGATGCCTCAGATTTAGCAATGGAGAGGGGATAGTTACGGAAAAACAAACAAACAAACAACATCCAAACAAAGGCCAAGATGAGCCCCAAGTTTCCCCAAACACTCCCTTTCTTGAGGGGCACTCATGACCCCGAGAGGCCGGCATAGAGGACAAATAGGGAGAGGCTATCTTTAGGATGCTCCCAACCTTCGCCCCTGCCGGGCCCCTTCGCGGAGTAGGGGCCCGGAACCCCCGGCTGCGCTGGCCAGCAGTGCGCTGCACGGCTGGGCTCCGCTGGCCTCCCTCGAGAGACCCGGAGATGAGGCTTTGGAGAGCTGGCCCCGGGGGGCCGCAGCCCACTTCCACCCCAGTGCGTAGGCTTTCTGGGGATCAGCAGCCTATCTTCTGTTCAAGAGAACGTAGGTCTCTAGGACCTGGTCAGAGCAGTGGGGTACCGCCAGGCTCCCTGGCACTGCGGCCTTAGAGCTGGCGGCCTTGCGGACGACCGAGGCCCCGAAGTTTGGGTGAAAAGACACCCACAAGCCTGCCCATCCGGGTAGCCAGCCGGGCACGGAGGACTTTACCTCTGTCTCCTCAGTATTCTAGGGTCCCATAGGCCAGTGCCTGGGATCCTGGAGCTTCTTCCGCAGAGAAGACCTTCTCTTCAGATGCCGGCGGGCCGGGAGTCGGACTTGACTGCCTGGGGGTCTATAAAGAGAGTGGTGGTTCCGGCTCCGCGGAACAAAAGCCGCAGCGCATGTCTCCATAGTGCGTATCCCTTTCATCCGGGCTTTTCCAAAGGTCGGATGGGTCTGTCTAGCCAGGGTCTCACCCCGGTCACAGGTTCATTGTTAGAATTAACCAAGTAACTTTTCTCTGGGACGTTCCTTGGTGACTTCTCGATCCTCGGAGTAACTGGTCATGGCTACCAATTCTTGAACGTATACTATGCATTAGGTACTTCCACTCCTGGTATCGGTTTAAATCTCACTGCAGCGAACACACATGCTGTTAAAACTGGTAAAAGAAAACTGAGGCCCCAGGTGAAAGAACTTGGCAGAGTGACTCCCGTCCTGGCGGCAGCAGAGGGGGCATTTGAACTTGATCTCCCTCCCAGACTGCAGCTCAGTTCTTGCCAGTTTATCAGCTGCCCCCTGAGAAAGCAAAAGACAGTAGTGCCCAGAATTGACCAGGAGCGGTTTCTCTCACTGTTGGGACAGCCCTCTGCAGCATGAGGGCCCTGCAGAACCAAGGACCAGGGCTAGCTGCAGGCTGAGG